TCCTTATTCTGTGCCATTCACGTTAAAGACTGACCGGCAGCATGCGCGCGCACCTTATGTGACTCCTTCGTTCCGGATTGATGACAGGATAGAATCCCAATCAAACTTCAACTTACAGGTAAGTCTCGTTTAATTTTGTAACTTTTCATAATGACGCATTTCTGAAGAAGTCTTAATTTATAACACCTTTTTAATATAAGTGACAAACGTTTTACAACACCAGAAGTGTACGTTTCCACACCGGAAGTAAGTTCTGTCATTAACCGGTTCTTACTCGCTACTAGTAGTTAAAGGACTTGCATAAATATATTTTTGTGATTTATCAAAACTTTTATTTTATAAACAATAGAACTTGACGCCAACTAAGGCAATCGTTTATTTCTTAATTAAGGATATCTGAGAATTTGACGGCTAACATTGGCTTGCTTCAGTGACGGTCGAGAGTAAAAATATTGCGTTTTGACGGTTTACGGTTAAAATTTTGGCTATTTGACAGAAGATTACTCGAGGTTTCATGGTCGAGAGCTTTATCCCATTTATCTTCCACGTCAAGATCTGATATGAGCCAAAGCAAGTGAAGCATCTGGAATTCCCATCTCCAAAAGGTTCTTGAAGTTTTATTCTGCTTTATTTGGAGTGGGGTCTTAACCTTCCCGTATCGCTAAGTCGCGTTGTTCTGCCCTTGCGCCAGTCCATGGTCGCATGGTAACCAAAATCTATTCACTGATAAACAGAAAGCGTAAGAACTTCCGTTTGAGGTCAGCTTTTATGATTTGGTGGTAGAATTCAAGATTTTTCCCATTCAAGCTTGGCAGTGTGAATATATCTTAAACTTCACATAGTCCTTCCTACCCTACACCTCTGTATGAAACCTTATGAAAGATTGATATATATTTTGAATTATGCTTCCGACGGATCTCTACCCTTCATTCCGTCTTGCCCTTCGCGGGAAGGTATGCCGGCAACATTCAATTATAGAGGTTTCCAAACATGATCAGTTGACGACATATCGAGCCGGAGGAGAAGCACGGTTTCTAATAGTGTGAACTAATTTTATCGCCTTGGTTTCAGTGACTGTCACGTACCATGCTTGGGGAACTATCACGATTTATCACGATGACCCCCACAACACGGAAATACAACACATTTCCTAAACTGATCTTGATAAAGATTTGGGAAGTGAGAAACAAACTGCAGCTATAAATTTGAAAGTAGAAAACTCTACAAGAAAAATTAATTTCATTTATATGTAAGACAAAAGTGAAACATCACGACCACAACTTTTATTTACGTCCGTTCTGGATTCTTGTAGAGCAAATGAATGGGCAAGTGAAGAGATTATGCTTCATTAAACACGAAAATATCTCCTTCACATTTTACACATGAAAAAGTAAGTGAGACAAATAAAACGGCCAAAAGAGACATTTTTTACATTTGGAAAACGAAAGACAAAACCATTAGTAGTTTGTTCCCAATATGAAACATACATTGGAATTATGAAATTCTCCTGTTTTTATTTAAATGTTTTTTTCCAAACAGCGTGAGAGGAGAACCAAGCCCAATAAAATTTCCAATTTAAAATTGAAAATATTATTATTCAATATCGGGCTCCTCGGAGATAGGAAGGTGGCACGCTCTGAAAGAGAATAATTTAATTGGTTTCATTGCAATCTAGAGTTTTCACCGCGTTCATACACTTTGGTTTATGACATCCAGTTTATGTAGATGATTTTAGATCACTCAAGTCCACTCAGGAAGTGAAAAATGTTTGCACGTCTTCACGCGGTCCATTGTCAAAAGGGCTTGAAATGAGGAAGAAATGTGCTCACGTGATTCGAGGAATTGTGGGAAGTAATTTGTGCTGACTCCTTCTCGTACGTTATACGCTTTCTCCATAAGGATCCCCGCAAAATGGAGTAAATTGTACTGCGAGAAGTTCCACGGATAAGCCATGGATTATACAGAGGAAGAGGAAACTCTTCGGCTAAGTCCGATACCGAGGGATATTCTGGCTCTGCCTGCGCGAGAGGTTCTTTCATATTCGAAAATTCGTGATCCTCTGTCACTTCAGCTGAACATGGAGGGTGCTTTGAAAAATTGGAAAGATGTGGCCGATATGCTAGGGTATTCTGCAGAGAAGATTCTCGGCTATTTCGCACATAATCCTAGACCAGGATTACTTTTATTGGAGGACTGGATATACAAAAGGAATGGTATTCTAGAGAAACTTGTGAATATCTTGAGCGAACTGGAGTTTTATTCTTCTCAGGACGTAATTTGCGAATGTGTGGAAGGTACCGAGATTTTATCGTAATTTCTTTGTTTTTAAGAACTTCCTCTCATAAATTTATGTCAGCCGATGTTTACTTTGTCTGTTGGTTGTTAGGAAAATAGTGAAAAGTTTTATTTAAAATTGTTGGTTTGATCTGACGTGAACCTTTACCTTTCTTTGCGGATTTACGTCAATCACGATTCTTTGGTTAGAAATTGCGTGGGGAAATTCACTCTCAGCTGAATACTAATCACGCCGTTCTTAAATTAACGATAAATCTGAGATCTATTTCTGTTTCGTTTCAAATACAGCTTTTTGGGTTTATTAATTTTTGATTTAAAGGAAACTCTGGTGAAATTTGTGAATTAAATTGGGTATAATTTGTGGAGAAAGACTAGGTTAAATTCTCCGTAAGGAAGACCGTAATTAGAGCCTTCCTTTTTCCCACGCAGTAAAGCTTTTTGCCTAAATGGAATTGCAAAGCGTGGAACATCTCTATGCTGTAAAAGCGTTAATTTTTAGTTATTATGCTGAAAGGTTTAAGGACTAAATTTACGTTAGTAGATACGAAAATAACCATCTTACTGCAATCGATAACCGGATAAATTAAGCATTCGTCATAGCGCTAATGTTAATTTATGCCATTATCTTTGTTGCACTTATTCTTTGCTTTTCCGTTTTCTCACCACTCTATGGCGAATGTCAGATTATTACATTCATTTGCTAACGATGATATTGAAATTTGTGTTTTTTAACACTTAACCATCTGGTGGACACGACAAGTGTCCCTTGGAAGACTATTAGGAAGTTTTACTGTTTTGTTTACGACCTTGATTAACAGTGATGTTGAAAAGTCCTTTTCGACTCTCAAACATAGACATTTATTGTGCATTTTGTATTTAATTATTTCTAGCTTTGTCTAAAGTAAGGACGTGGGTGTCTAGATATTTCGGAACTAAATATTTGGTACATGACAAGTCATTAAAATTAAGATCTTGAAGTTCATTAGGTCGCTTTTGTCTTCCGCTCCTTGGTCTTTTAAATATTTTTCTCGTGAGATTAGAATCACGCAAATTATTTTCTTTCTTATTTCACTCTGGAAGATGCTGCCAGCTACATTTTGCAGTTTCTTTTCCATGCCTTTTTTTTCTGCATCAAACAAATTCATCATTCCTTTTTCGCAAGTTGAAATTAGCAGTTACTTGATGCTTTGCTCAAACTATTTTTTTTACTCCAATGCCAAGTTCAAAATCAAGAGTTCACATGCCGATCAACTTAACATATAATGATCATATTGCTAAAACTACTTCTAACTGTATTTTCAAACTAGTACAGATCAGCAGGATCAAACACCTTTTGGACAGGAAAACTCTTTTACTTTTGATGAAGGCTTTTGTTTTTAGTACAATGTATTATTGTTCAACTGTATGGGCCAACACATGTCAACGAAATATAAAGAAGCTACAGCTAGTGCAAAACTTTGCTGCCCGTATTGTATTAGGTCTTAAGAAATTTGACCACATCACCCAAGGCATAAAATCTCTTAATTGGCTCACTGTTAAGGAGAGACTTTATTTCAACAATGCTGTAATGGTATTTATAGGTATAAATGTGTAAATAATGTAGTTCCTGACTATCTGGCTAACACGTTTGTCCCACGATCTCGTATTCACAGTAGGGTAACAAGATCATGTAATCTGCTCCACATCCCACGATGCTGCCTGTCCTCTGGGCAACGTGCATTCACGTATCGCGGATGCAAATTGTGGAATAACCTCCCAAAGGACTTAAAAGCAGCTGAGAATGTAAACACCTTTAAGCTCTGCCTACTGAGTGCACTCCTTAGTGGAAATGTTGTGCAAAGATGAATTGTTTCTGTCTTCTATTCTTGTGCAATTTTTGTATTAGTTCACTAGTGTTTTTAACATGTACTGGCCTTTTGTATTTATATTGTATTAGCTTTAGATTTACATATATATATGTAATGTTACTATAATATTACAATAATTTAATGCAGGCTTTGTAACTGAAAAACCCAGCTTGGGAGTTGCAATAAACGTATATTTGTATGTATGTATGTATGTATGTAACTTGATAGTAGCTCACCCAGCCTGAGTCATGTTAAACTTTGCTAGGGCAACATTGATATAGACTCTTAAATCTAGACTTGTGTAAATGCACAAATCTGGTATTGATGCAATTCTAATAAACAAAAATATTGTAAAATCAAGCTTAAGGTTACTATTTAGTTGCTTTATAGCATACTAATACTCTTTGTCAGAATTTTATCTTTGGTTCATTTAAGATGAATTTAACTCATCACCTTTCATTAGCATGCCTGAAGACTAAGAGAAAATATAAAGCAACATACATGTATCACCTTAACACTCTATGATCTTTTAGCATCGTAATTACATGTACAATTGAAATGTTTAGCATAAAAAATGCTTGGAAAAGAGGTAACAGTTGACTTAGGAAGGGGACTACAGTATTATGGTTGTTTACCTATTTTACAGCCAATTATGTCATGGAAAATCCAATGTGAAATATAATGACATTGCTTGGATCCAATGTGGATCTCAGTCAACTAAAACATGGTCTGTAGACTATGATTAGAGATAATTTTTTCCGCTGGAAGGAGAGGAAAGCCTATAAAAAGTAATTTCTGATCAAATCAAAACAATGTGAGATTTATATGTTTTTTTGGTCTTTAGTCAAATTGAGGTGAACACTGGCATAAAATGTTATTTTGGATTGCAAATAAAATGTCCTTTTCCATTCCTAATGTTTTGGGTAGAGGAAAATTTTAATCCTGGTGACCAATTAATTATTTGAGACTCACAAGTAGTGACTGTGAGTTAGGGCACTTAATATTTTGGCCAGTTTTTTATTATTTTCTTGTACTCGCTGTTACATGAGATCAATGCCTTAAGTGAAAATCATGTGTAATAACTTTGTTCTTTTAATGATCTTTTCAGATTATCAAAGAAAGCGTAGTAGTGATGATGATGGAATAGGTGATGTACAGGGAATCCAACTTGACGATGGAGGTTGTTGTATGATTGAGGAAATTTCAATTGTTTCAACAACCAACTCGGACTGCACAGACCGCACTTCATATACATCATCAGAGTACTCGACAACTCCAAGCCCTCTACCATCCACAGTTGTGAAATCAAAGGATAAGAGTTATACGGGTAAAATTAGGGGAGTAGGTTCATATTCAAGTAAGTGTGATAGAGAACTGCAAGAGAAGAGCCCTAGTAGCACTAACTTACAAGTACCAAGCAGAGGTGCTGAAGGTGCCACTACTGCAGGCAAGCCTGGACTTTTTAGGTATAGCTCTTGGTCACCAGACACACATCTGGAGAATGAAGATCTGTTACAATCTAACCAAGGTGAAAAGGACTATATGCATTCAAATTCCCATGAACCAAAAAGTAAATTGAAGGACAGAAAGAAATCTTTTCGGAAAAAAATTGCCCTCATGTTTTCTACAAAGAGACACAAGAGATCATCTGAACCATCCAACAGTGAAGGAAAGTCCTCATTTGTGAGCTCTGGTGAATCCAGTGTGGATACATCCATGGTGACATCATTCACTGCATCATACTCTTACAGTGAATCGGTCCAAAATCCAAAAGAAAATTTGTCTCCTCTGAAAGTAAAAGAAGCACGGAGGTTGTCAAATTCAGACAGTGTGAGCTCAAGAGAATCTGCAGCTTCCCCAACATCCCCAGGGTACGAGTCAGGATACACATCATCGCCAGAAGGTATGAAATTTTGACTTTCAGCATTGGTCAAGGGTATGCACTTTAATTGTTTTGTGTCTGGTATGTGGCTACTACAGAAATTTAATCTTGAAAAGTTTTAATAGAAAATAATTAGCCAAAAATATTTCAAGCTAATCTAGAATTCACCACAGGATATGATTAAAAAAAGCCTGACGAAAAGATCCCTTTTTGATGGACACAATTATTCAATTGTTCAGCAATGAAAATAAAATGCTGTTGCACATGTGTAAGCCCAAATTAAAATCACCTAACCATGTTTACCAAAGAAACGCCATCTAACATTTTTTCATATCTTTTATATGATCCAGCCCCCACAGGCTCTGGAAAAACCATCTCCATCATCCACTGTTCGCAACTGGAAGGAAATGCCTTTGAAGGGGAGGTTTCTAAGTTGTACTATCATTTTAGCAAAAACTTGGGATACAAGTGCCATTTGGACAAGGTGGAGCTAGTCAAAGTTGCTGAAAACATGTTCCGCTGGGCTGTGAAAAGTGTCCAGCAGAGTGATTTTGTTTTCATTTGTGTTTCTCCACAACTGAAAAGAATTTTTGACTCACCCCACGAAGAAATCAGTGGCAGTCTTGAAGGTTTGCTCATAAATAATTTTAGATTAATTTTGTAGTTAAAAGAAATAAAATTCCCATGTTCTATTTCTTTATTTTGTATCGTAAAACACTATTGTATGATACATGTGTGTGTTGTGTGCATTGTAGCAAGTAATTCTTCACACAAACATAAGAGTAACTTGTATGTGTGGCCTCTGTAAAAACTTCACTTCTCTAAATTTCCTTTTTTCTTATTCCCCCTTTACATCCTCAAGGTTTTGTGTCACTTGATGTTGTCTTGGTGTGAAGAGATATTGTTAGTACATTTTGCAATGTTAGGTCACAGGAGTTTGAACATCAGGGCTTTTACATTTACAAGGGCTTGTATTAGCCTACTGAATAATAACTATTGCCAGGGCTACATGCTGGTGTACAATTTAAAATTTAATCAAAATGAATGTTGTCTGGAAATTTTTACCCACAGATTTCTCTCGTTCAGCTCATGATATCTTATTTTCAGATGATGAGGCATGCATGGTTCGGCTTGAATCTGATTTAATATTGGCTGAGCTTGCCACAAATGCAAGCAACAGAAAAGGAAAGTACATGACAATTGTGCTGGAAGGATCATCCAAAAGAGATGTGCCAGGCTTCCTGAACTTATATTTGAAGTACCGTTGGCCAGATGACGAACGCAGAATCAGGTGCATAATAGAAGGACTACCTGAGATCATTCCAGTACCTGTAAGCAGTGTCAAGACCGATCCACCTCCTAAGGTGGTTGAGCCTGCCAAAATTCCAAGTTGAGGTTTGTTGAGCATAAAACTAAACCAACCATTAGTTTTGTCCTCTTTACTATGGCATGCCGTATGGGACAATATTGTTGGCGCAAAAATCAAGTGCAAAAGTTAAATATATATGTCATGGATCAAATAAATATGATGTGAATGGAATATATATGGCATGGACCAAATACGATATAAATATGGGGCAAATGTGTGAAAAATATATATGGTTATTGTGCCCATTGTCAATTTGGTCAGCAGAAGATTGATAAAAAAATATGGGAGAATATTGTTGGCGCGAAAATAAAGTGCAAAAGTTAAATATGTATGTCATGGATCAAATAAATATGATGTGAATGGAATATATATGGCATGGACCGAATACGATATAAATATGGGGCAAATGCGCGAAAAATATATATGGTTATTGTGCCCATTGTCAATGTGGTCAGCGGAACATTGATAAAAAAAATATCTTGGTGGCCCGTGACAGAATTGATGATTTAGAGCAATTTTTCAAGAGCTCTATTCCATCCCTTTTTTGTCAAGCTCGTAGAAATCTTCACTCTGAAAACATCAACATCTTGGAGTATTTTGAACACCGATTAGATGATCATGCATACATTGTTAGGTGTTTCATATTTGAGTGGGAAGTGCAAAGCACTGGAAAAAGTTTACTTGAGCCACTTTATCTCTTGTATGAAGAAATCATCGGCTTAAGAAGTCAGTTTCTAAATATTTGTTGCATGCTTTGAGGCTCCTCCACTTTGAGAATGGCTAACTTCCTGAGTTCCTGCTCCAGAAACTGCTGTTTGAGTTGAAGTTTCAGGGTTTGAACTTGAATTATCGGAAGACCTAGCTTGCAAGGCTTCTTTGAATAGAGGATGATCAATAATCTGTCGAACAAGTAAGTCAACAGTGGGGGTAGAGTTTTCCATAATTATTCAATTCCTCGATCAGATGCCAAGTTTTCCCACTTTCCAAAATAACGCTGCTGGCCAAAGCGATAACGGGCACAATAGCCGTATATATTTTTCTTACTTTTGTCCTATGTCATATATTTATTTATTCAGTACCATATATATCGACTTGGTCCATGCCATATATACATTGCACATATATTCTATTCATATATTTATTTGATCCATGCCATATATATGTAACTTTGCATTTTATTTTTTGGGCACACAATATTGTCCTATATGGCACCCAATACTTTGCTGTAGAGAATCAGAGAACTGTAAGGTGTGTGAAACATTATGGCTCTAGAATGCAACAAAGAGTGACTATTTGCAGCTGTTCCTTTTCTGCTTGATGAAAGGCCTCAGGAGAGTTTTGATTACCAGCCCCTTTAGTTTTCTTTCCATAACTGAAATAACCAAGAAAATAGCTACCTACCAACTAGTTCATAATTGTAGGTACACAAATTAACAGATAAATTTCAAATTTATTTTGTTATTATCATTAAAAAAAGATTAATAAAAATGAAAAACAAAAGGAAATAATGATTAAAAAAAAAAAACCAGAACAAAACAGGCTTCAATGTGAAAAAAGTTTGGGTGTCTGCAGTAAAGTTACAAGGCTACACTAGGTGTCTTACTCTTGTGCTGTAACAGAGTTTTCAAGTGTACCAAGTGTAGAAATCCTATCATTGACAACTTAATAAATGTGAAATTGTACTATTTTATTCTTTTCCAGGGACGAAGAAACAAACAGGATTTCTGTACCTGTTAGAGTCTCCCTGACAAGCATTATTTGGGGAACAGAGAAAGACAAAGAAGCCACCAATTTTTTCATTGTAGATTGACAATTGATTTAATTCATACTTGGTGGGAGTATGCAAAATTATATGATTGTATACTGTAAAAATACTGTACTGTACATGTAGACAAGGGGTAAGAGCCCAGGATTGTGTAGATATGTATTCACTTCATAATACTAGCATGGTATCATAAGTGATATCAAAGTATAACAAAATCTTGCTCATGATCAAGATATTTTATTCCAGTTGCTACATGTATTTTAGAACTTCAGGTTTAAATTAGGAATGAAGCAAATTGTATATCCTCTTTTTACTGAATGAAAGGCTATTGCATATTGACTTTTCAGTGCTTTTAATCATTGCTCTTCGCCAGAATATTTTTGTACTAAAATTGTAGAGAGAATTTCAGTACTGATCATTCATGGAAGTAATAATGTTAAACTTCATCTTCATATTTCAATACACCTTTCTGTACAATGTAAGATCTTAAGATTTTTTGATTGATTCCATGTACAGGTCATGATATTGTGTTGAGTGCAAGTGGTGTGGATTTTTATTCGGATCAGAAAATCATCATTTTGAACTGTTTTTGTCCAGAGTATGGAATATCTTTATTGAAAAATGAAATGCTTTTAAGAAGATTCTGTACATATGTTTTCAGGAGGAAAGGATGACTAATTGTGTAGATAAAAGCTAAGATGCATACAATTGCTTCTGCTTGCTCAACTTGCAGGAAAGAGTGGCATGGGAGAGAACATGGGCTGTATGAAATATGGTCCCACTACTCAATAGTTATTTGCTTCTGCTTGCTCAACTCGCAGGAAAGAGTGGCATTGAAGAGAACATGGACCGTATGAAATATGGTCCCACTACTAAAAGTTTGCTACATTTTGAGCTACATGTTGTAGGCATGAAGCAATGCAGCCATAGTGAATGCTGTAAAAGCACACATATGTAAAGTTGACCGTATAAATTATGTATTTTGCAGAATCAGGCTGAATAGGTTCTTCAGCAGGTCCCGCACTGTTATCTTTTTTGTACTGTGTGTCATACAGTGAGGGTTCAGTTACTTTTATATATATGATTGACCCAAAAAGTCAGCTTATCTCAAAAAGCAGCAAGAAGCTAGTAAGTAATGTACAGTTGCTACTCTTTGGAATAATTATTTTCCCAAGGTGCATTGAATATTTTACAATAATCCTATGAGTCCCACAGTGTGTTATTTCAATGGTTCATGGTTACATTTTTCGTTCCTTTTGATGCCTCGTGTTTTTATTACTTTTTTTTTTTTTTTTTACTTGAAATGCCCTGCTGGGCTTGAAGTATTTAAAAAGCATTGATTTGACCATTAAATGGTCTCGTGATCAAATTCAAGCCTGCGTACGTTTTCACTAAGCCGTTTGCTGTGTGTTACTTTGTGTTTAAGAATGTTGTTCAAGGAAGCTTTTCACTTTGCATGAACCCTTGCAAGCCACTGTCTCATATTTCATTCGTACTTAACTCTAATTTTGTAAGGAGCAATGGTCTTAATATACCAAATAATGACCGCGTCCATGATATCTGAATGTACAAAGTAAATATTGTGATTAAACTCGGCTTTTCAAACTCCTTGGACAGGTGCTATAGAATGTCAATCCTCAATTATACACAACCAGACAATTGTACTCGCCCCTTATGGTTTGAGAAGTTATTCATATGTAAATATTGATTTAATTCATTTTGCTACTCTTCACCTTTGATGTTGCAATTAAATCCTGACTTTATACTCCCGCCCGTTTTTATTTAAACATTCCGTCACTGTATGTAATTCAGGAATGTCTTAACATTAACATTCGAGCACGTGATGCGTTGCACTGTATGACGGGTAAGACCCACCGAATGTGGCTCAGATGTACTAAAGCAGAGACTAGGGAGAATTGGGAAGTGACCTAGATTTGTCAGGACCAACTGACTACTGAGAATCAAAATCTTTTGCAAATCTAGTGTTAAAACAAAAATTTTGAGGACCAGCGGTCCATTCACATGGTAGAGCCCAGTCTCCTCGCGTCAGTGTATATTTTAGTTTTTGCGCGAAAAGTCCCATCAGTGTTACGTAGTTGTCGTTGTATGTCCGTTATGCTTCGTCTCGAGTTCTTTTAGATCCAAACCATCAGGTATGTTTTTTTTAAGCTTTCATTTCGCCGGGTTTTTTTTGTCTGTTGTCATTCGTTGTCGGTCGTTAGATTTAGTGTAATTTGATTTTGTTAGAGAAAACGCCAGTCAGGAATAAAATGGATGATTCAGGTAACCATTGAGAAATGTTACCGGTGTGTTCGTTACACCTAACTTGATTCGCAGTCGAACGCTCTAACTCGCTGATCTCTCCTGGACAGAGACTGGGGTTCATAACTGACTAGCCAGTTACTCAATGAAGACAGAGTTTTTTCGTTTTTCAATGCTCGTTTATTTTTACTACATGGAGAGCCTTAAGTATGATCTTATTACAACAGATCATTAAGCTCTTTTTCAACATTATATTTTCACTTAAGTACACGCTTTATTGACGTCATACGGGTCCGGTCCATTGATTTTTAGTATTCCACATCTACGTGTCGTTCTGTCTCGGGCAGTACGTCAGTCGAGAGTTTTTCCTCGTGATTGTATCAAGCACTTTACCGCTATAGCCTGCTATTTGTGACGCAATGCTTTCTACACAAAGCGAATGGTTGGAGTGGCAATCTGTATCAAATGTTAGACTAGAAGTGTGATCTATTGTCTTTCGTAACACCCTTAAGAAAGGGAGATAAAGAGGAAACTAAAGCCGTTGAATTTTTCAGTGGTTGAATCAAAGCATTCAAGCTTAATGCGCCTTCTTTAATAACCTGAATAGGAAAATAGACTGAGATTTTGTTTTCTTAAAAAAATCTGCTGGTGGATCGAAAGAGTCGTTGTAAAGAATTTTTCTACATGATAAAGAAATTTAGCTAGTTTGACTGAAATCTTCTCCAAGGGTGGCTTCTTTTAGCATACGAACTTGTCTAGCGTGAAAATTTTAGGCATTTCTACTTCAGCGGATTGTCCTTGGTCCAAAAATTGAAGTTTCCTCAGAAACAAAAGCCCACAAAGAGATCCTCTTCTAGTTTACCAAAAAAAAAAAGTCAGGGGAAAGATAGGCAAGGGGGTGGTGTTGCTGTTGGTACAGTACCTTCCGAGATAACTGAGTAGAATTTGATTAAAACGCCTCACTATGTATCATCTACTAGAACTCGACCAGTTTAGGTAGTTTAAGATATTTCGTCTCCTTCATTTCTGTTTTTCTCTTTGAGTAGAAATCGCTTAAAATTAGTTCCCTAGCAGAGATTTCAGTTATCTAAAACCGTAACACTGTTTTCCTTACAAACAGAAAAAATCAGCAATCGGCTGAACGAAACTCGCATAAAAGTTTCCTGCCTCACACGGATATGTGCTGTCCAACAAGGTGCAAATTGTGCCTCGCGTCAGCAGTGCAAAAGGAGCTTAGAGGGCTTTCCTTTGAGTTGTGGTGCGAAAGGCTGATACTGCTTAAATAGTTCAAATCATTGGAGGTATTTCATCTACTGATTCAAGGTTAACAAGTACGTTTGGCAAGAGCTAGTCAAATCACTGTTCTCTCTGTGCCTAATTAGTCATTACCACAGGGATATCCCAGTTCAGGCGAGGTCTCTGATATCAGTATTTTTTTTACTACACTTTGAAATTTAGAGACTTGAGAGGCACATTCCTAGTTAAAAGTTTCTACGTAGTTTCTCCCATCCCGCTGTAGAAGTTATGGGGGTTTTTCGTCTCGTAGCTCTATGGTCTGTTGAAACATTTCACCCGTCTATGTGGAATAGTTTTATTTTATCGTGTGGCGGTTCATTTCTGGCGGTCAAGTGACTTTTCGTCTCCTGGGTACAAATCGATGTTTCCCCCAAATGAGATCCCATCCACTTCCAGCTGCAATGAGAATGAAAATACATTAGGAGTGATCCTTAGATGAAAATAAGTTTTACGATTGACTCTCAGATAAGTATTCTGTCTAGAGAGAAGTGATATCATCGGGGCTAGGGCTCGTGGATACAAGGCCGTTATAATTCCCAGGCTCAAGGAACTTGCGGTTATCACACTCTTACTTCCTGTCACTTTGAATCAGCTACTTACGTTTCCCATAGTATATCCGGAAAAGCTAAAGAGTCTTTTTTTCTTTCTCTTCCCTGCGTCAATCGAGCAACCTTCATCTTCATTTTTCAGGCGTACATTCACTTTCAAAACGGTTCCCACATCCTCAAAAGGAAGATAGTACACTTCGTCACTGAAAAAGAAGAGATTATTACATCCGTTAGATTAGCTTCTTTTTCTCTCTTATTCGAAGACAGAGGCCTTTACTTTTTTTTTTTTGCACTGACCGCTGGATCAAAAGGCTCGGGTTAGTTAAGACTCTGTAGAGCTGTAAATAACCCCTATGATACTTTAAATCCTGGGAGAGTTGGCAGATACGTTAGGTGCCTCTCTGATCTACACTTAAGAGCGTAAATGGTTATCAGCAAGAACGTTCAGAGAAACCTATGAGAATTACAATCCAGAAACCAAATAATTTTTAATACTCCCGGCGTTAGTGAAATAGTGTACATTAAGATTAACTGGTTACGGAGCAACGAATGACGTCAACTCGAATGATGGAATCCATAACATGTGGTTCAAGCAACAGTTTTTGCTTTGGAAATCGCTAACATCTTTTTTTTTTTTTTTTTTAATAAAAAACACCTTTCTGTATAGTTCTTGATACACAGAGTGGAATAACTCTAAAGGATAAAAAAGGATCGAGACGAGTTCAAACTGGCGCTGCTCGCACTTTAATTCTTAGCACATTTTAAGACAATTTTCGAAGGGCCAAGTCATTCTTTGGAATCTCAAAACGCCGTTAGTGCCATAGCTTCCTATATTCTTTTGCGGTGGAGATAAAAAGGATGTGGTTTCCGGAGTATACCTCTTCTATAAAAATAGAAGATGAAAAACAGTGTTTCTTACGCTCCCCGTTCCTTTTCATCTTGGATCCACCCTCCAGATGTGAGAAGCCTCCGTTGTGACGCCCCTTGGCTGCCAATCAGTTGTACGTAGAGATCTGCATCAGTTCCAGATCCCCAGCCACTTCCGGTTATCAAGCGAAATTTGTGATCTTTGACTGTAAAGGCAACATTTTTTTTCATAAGTAACCATACTCAAGCTCGCCTCCTGAAATGATTGGCAGGTTTCAAACCAGACCGCGTTGCAAGTGTCAGATATCAGGTGCGGTTTACACAGTGACTTTAAGAATAAATATATTTTTTTTATGATCAAATCAAAGCCAACATAGTTGATTGGTCACGTTGATCTGAAGCAAAAAGTCACCCCACACTAGTTATGATTAACTAAGTTTGCACTCACAGACTTTCTTCTCGTTGCAATAAAGGGCATTGATTTTTTCCAAATCCATGGCATCAAAGTGTGAAGTCGACCCAAGTTTATGGTTTGGATTAGTCTTCGCCTCCATAGTGTGTTTTCCGTTTTTGCTAAAGGTGTGTGTATCGTACTGCATGATGCTATTAAGATCGTAAGGAAATCCTTGGTTATTCTGAATTCTTTTCTTGAACTCCGTTTTAAATATACCTGTAACAAAACAAGAGTGAACATTGGCGAATTTCGAAAACAAGCATAGATGATCTTATTGATTTTTACATGGCTCCTAGGGACTTGGTTGGGGGAAAAGGTTTGGTAAAACTGCAGTATTACATTGAGAGGATAGAAAGCTCAGCCATCGCGAAAAATCACAGGAAGATTTTGTAAGGGAAGTTTAAAACAACGATTAGATAAACTTTTGATATTTTAAAGTTATTGAAAATTTTAATATTTTGAGGTCTAGAATTGAAAGACGGGCTTTCTTTGCTTAGCACTAGACATGCCAGCGCCATACCAGATGTACACGAGCTAGAATCCTTGAGCGGTCCATCCTGGTTATATAAGCGCCCTTTCCTACTTTAGATCTTTCGTTATCTATCTCATCTCTTTTTGCCTCCATGAAAACTGTTATTCAAACTTCTTGGAAAAGACTGATTAAAGAGGGTAGCTTTGTCAATCCTATCTTATGTACAGTTTAGGGAGAATTGTGGGACAGACTTTTCACGCAAGAATACTGTTTCAGCCCGGTAAAAGTTCTCACTTAATGGGCTGACAAAGAGAATTCACAATGCTTGCTAAATTACCACGTCACACCACCGATTTTACGTTAACTTCTACCCTTCAGGCTGGCCGACAGATAACGAAACTCCTTAACTGAGGCTGGAAAAGTAGCGAAGGAGCCGGCGGCCATTGATAACCGATACATGCAGTCGTTCTGCTCAGCTAAGTAGCTTACCTCTTCTCTTGAAGAGGATTTGCATTTGAACTTTTAATGAGGATGTATGAAAAGGCAGTTGATCAGTGGTTTTCAATCAATTTCATAGATGTATACACCAGGAAAATGCGAAGAGAGGATCAACTTCCTTTATGTAACACGCAATTAGGTTGTGCCATTTCTCTATGACCGTCAACATTTACTTTTTTTATCATAATAAGGACCTGCATATCTTACCGTCCTGGAGATTTTCCGGGTATACTTTAATGTAATTGTCGCGATCGTTTCTGGTAAATTCGTGATAGTATCCCAAAAGGTGCATCAACTCGTGACTGACAGTCGACATGTATTCACACCCTGTTCCAAGGTTCAACGTTTGAGTCTTGTCGCGGTACCCTATGTCAGAGAAACAGCTGGAAAAGTAATTGCGATGTGCGTGTTAGAGAATTATCCATCGCCTCCCGGTTAGCTCAATTTGTTAGAGCGCCGGATTGTGTTGTGTGGGAGGTCGAGGGTTCGAGCCCCGGCCGGACCGATACTCGTGGTCTTAAAATGAGTGAAGAGAATTTGCTACCTTTCTATAATCAAAAAATGGATAGATATTCTAGTCTTCTCGGATAAGGACGAATAAAGCGTCGGCCCCGTCTCCTGCAGGGTTAGGGGCAGGAGACGTTAATTTCTCACGCACGAGATTACTGTGTAGTGGATGTCCTCCCCTGTGGTGGGATGAGTGGGAATTGGCCCTGAAAAGCCCCCATGGGGAGTGGTCAACTAACATATTTATGTAGGTATGTAGGTATGTATGCATGTATATAGAGGGATTAAACTTGGTGCCCGTGAAACAGTGCTCGATACAAATAGTAGAGCGGATATAATGTGTGGTAGGGAGAAAACAAAACAACTACATATACATCCCTACAGACCTCTTTCGTGATTGCCCACTCATCAGGGGATTTTAATGGCAGAATAATGCAGAATAATGCAATACCATCGTATAGCATATAAGCGATGGTATTGCATTATTCTGCCATTAAAATCCCCTGATGAGTGGGCAACCACGAAACAGGTCTGCAGGGATGTATATGTAGTTGTTTTTTTCTGCCTACCACACATTATGTATGTATGTATGTATGTATGTATGTATGTATGTATGTATGTAAGTGAAAGTATGGCATAATCGGATAAAATTAGGGGCACTGGTCGTTAGCAAAGGTTAAAGAGGCCGCTCAATTCTGCAATGTCAGACAATTTAGCGATAAATTCTTGAGGTTACCCGTCGTTGTTATTTGTGACAACTTGTACGTGGCCGCCATCTGCCTCTTGAAGCCGGATACATGTATCTTGTTCCAACTGACAAGTTAAGTATTTCATCCATTTCTTAACATTAGTGGGAGGAGCTTAAGATAGAAACAAGAATTTTGGTTAGCTCCCTTGTTAGTCTTGTTGCGATTACCTAATGTTCTTTTTTATAAACTCTTTTAAACTCAGTTTGGTAAACCCGTTAATGCTTATCAAATTTTCATCAAAAGATATAGATTGCTTTTTTTAGTTATTAAAGAAAAATGTAGTGTAGCTTCAGAGCCACCTTGATTTTTTGCAATGTAATGATAACTGATCAAGAGAGCCTATTTGCAGCTAGTTTTAAACTTTCTTACAATAATTAGCATAATTGTTAGACAAATTCCGTGGGGGAGGGTTAATGTTACACTCAATTCAATTTGTCCCTGAGCCATAAAACGATTAGAAATACATTGTAAAGTGTTCATGTAGAGCTGTTTTGACATGGCTGGGGTTGGAGTATGAGAGTACAAGAAAACTAAGGGGATGGGGGGGGGATGAGAAAGTGGACAACTAAGGTGAATAGGGGTGAGGGTGAGAAAGTGGACAATACATACAATGGATCGACATTAACTCTGCAATCAGATGGGAACCACTCTGTTAATGCTTGTGGTCTACAATTAATATCTTATGCAATTAAGAATTAATTCTTTGTCCTACAGCTAACGTATTTGTAGGTGATCTTGACGATGCGTTTTCCATTTGCCTCTGTGGTGGTTTTCCAGAGATATTTTGAACTGGATACTGCTCCTCTTTTATTCCGGATTTTCCTGTTTCCGTCAAAGGGAAGTAAAGCTGAGCAAAAGAAGAAAATATTTGTTAGGTTAGCTCTTTGAAACTTCTCAAAAGGATTAACATGTAACTTTCTCCAACGTTGTGAATGCACTATCCAGCAAATATATCGGCTTGAGAGTATCATTCTGATACACTACTTGCTGGAAGTTCAAGACCATAAAACACCATAGCCAAACGTCCCACATTTCGAATTCAAAGACATGCCAAATCTTGACTACCATGATAATTTCCTCAAATGTGATTGGTGCGTTAGCTGCTTCATTTTTTACTAATTATTCTGTAGAGTTGTAAAGGGACAGTGTTATTGGACAGTTGGCTGTAATCTGACGCCTACAATCGGAAAGTTAAAGTAGCCAAATCCACTCAGCTAAATCCGCATATCATAGAATAGTCCATTTTACAGTTGTGTGTTATGTTGCCAAGCCTTTGAATGGGAGTGAGGCTAGAGACGACCTTGTTATGATACAAACCTTGCTGCCTTTCAAATGTAAATCATTTTGTTATCATGCAAAGTAGATACAGGTCTCTATCACAACAAGGTCATCTTTAGCCTCACTCTGAATCAAAGGTTTGGCAACTAAGTACACAACTGTAAAATGGCCTATTGATCACAATAACCATAGCAAAAACCGCGTACTTATCCTAAAAATCTAGGGAACTTCCAAAATGGAGGAACATTTTACTTTGTTTCTACCGGAGATATCTTCCCTAAATGTATTTTTTTTTCGCAAATTGTAATGGTTATGATTAAATGCTAACAGAACTTCGTGTCGTCGAATACAGTTTGTAATCATACTCGTAATTGACAAATCGGGCTCCCGCTTCGCGGTCATCCGATTTTGTTAATCACTTGTTTGATTACAGACCAAATCAAAGACTTTATGGGGGTGCCATCCTTACTTACTGCGTTTTAAGTCTTTATGTGTTGCCGCAGGATATTGTACACCATCGGGTGGAGCATCCTCGACCGTTTCATCGTTTTCATCCGATTCTGATAAAGAACGTAGAGCGGACATAAATTAAGAATAAGGGACCAGACATTATTCATCACCGTAGAGGCCGAGGTCGGTGGATTTTGGTGTATCACATGGTTATCATGGGTGGGGGGGTCAGTTGTCGCAAAAAGGGGACTAAAGAAAATTGATTCCCAATCAACTGGCGAGCGCAGGCTCATTTTCCAAACAGCTGCAAGTTGTTGGGCCTAGGTCTTTATCCGCTTATAAGCAGTATCCATCTTAGATTATTAGTTTAATTTAAGTTATTTTCTTACGTTCTGTAAAATTTGCCGGCACGAGTTTACTGTATCTGTTTAGCTCTTACCTTGTTCAGCATAAGTCGTGTCTGGGAATGTTTCATCCTCGTCTACATCAGTCGGCGGCTTTTCATCATTTATGATTAAGTCTGAAACGGTCCGCGCGAAATCGCAAGAAAAATCAAGTTATGTTCAATATCATTTGCAAAATATCATTATAAGACCGATTTTTCTCCGACAGACTGTCCCCTCGATCTTACCTGACTCAAATGCCCCCACCTCTTCAAAGGATGGTTAGGTGATAACAATGATCGAGAAATAGATGCATGAAGTCTGCGCTTGGCATCCATGTGGGTTCCCACGAGAAAAGGGTTCATCTGCACCTTTATCAGCAATTTCATCAGGTTCATCGGATGATAGGAACGAACGTTTCATGTAATGGATGGCAGAAGCGGGGAGGCCAGGGGATCGAAGGAGCATGCAACTTTAGTGTTTATTTGTTTATTGTTTATTTGTTTATTTGTTATTGTTTGTTTATTTGCATCTTGGACTTTATCTCAACTATTGAACGTGAAAAAGACGGAATTGTATAAAAAGGTACTAGTGGTTTCTTTATTTTCAAAATCCTGCCCTATGTTTCCCACAACTATATTACGATAAAATAAGGTTTTTCTTAAAAAAAAGGTTTGGGTAGGGCATTGATTTTCATCGTAGCCTTAACAACACGTAATAGAAGTAATGTGCTCATTTCCTGCTACCCTTTTTTCCTTTCAAGTTTCAAATCTCCCTTCCCATTAAAAACCACAAAGGTCAAATGCTCTGCCCAGTGGGCATATGGTTTTGCCAAATACAACAGGAATGGCCTCTGAAGGTGGACTAAGGAGTTTCAGCCTCTTTTAAAAATCATTCATGATTACCGCGCTTTGAGTCCGCGTCGGTTACCACTGGATAATGTTCCTCGTCACCGTTGGGAGGAGGATCATCAACATTTCCATCCGTTCCTGCTGAAGAAGAAAGAAGCGGTCGAAGTTACTGTTGAAATAAATCGTCCGTCAAGATTTAACGAAGAAACGATTAGAAAAATGGATAATTTGGAGCACTAAATGTAATTAAACTACCGAATGATTAACAAACCGTTTTTGGCGATCAGATGAGGAGGCGGCTATCTAAAGTCGTTCCCTAAATACATTTTGCTTTGACATTCATTTTGATCATACACCAGTAACGTAAAAAAAAGGTGAACGCGAGCTTTTCTTGTAAACATAAATTTTCATCCGAGCTTGTATAAGTTCTAAATCATCTTAGCCAGATCACATTAGTCTGCTAGTCTATCTGGCTTAACTCTATGAGTTATAGCTGAGGAATGAAGGTGGAGCTGCCCCTGGAACTCAAGTTACCTGCGGAGTCGATCATGTAAGAGAACTGAGAGAGACTTGGGATGGAATGGAGGCCTGGGTTGACTATCGAATATTCAAGGACGATGATTATGTAAGAAACTGATTGACAATGTCACTCACCATCGTTCATACGATTTTCTATCCCACCTCTGCGGGGGTCATTGGAAGTGTCTAAAATAGGAAGTTAAATAACNACTTGGCGTCCTTGATTGTCGATAGATGCTCTTGTTTGTTCGTTGACACTATTGATCGTTTATAAACATGCAAATTGCGCTCTTGAATGTTCCGTGGCGTCAATGAAGTGCTTCTTGGTGTTATAGTATGTATATTCGCCTCATTGATTCTACACTTCGCGAAAATGAATATCTTTTTCGCCTAAATGATCAGCAAAAGGTGTAAAGTCGTTCCCTAAATACATTTTTTTGCTTTGACATTCATTTTGATCATACACCAGTAACTTAAAAAAAAGGTGGACGCGAGCTTTTCTTGTAAACATAAATTTTCATCGGAGCTTGTATAAGTTCTAAATCATCTTAGCCAGATCACATTAGTCTGCTAGTCTATCTGGCTTAACTCTCTGAGTTATAGCTGAGGAATGAAGGTGGAGCTGCCCCTGGAACTCAAGTTACCTGCAGAGTCGATCATGTAAGAGAACTGAGAGAGACTTGGGATGGAATGGAGGCCTGGGTTGACTATCGAATATTCAAGGACGATGATTATGTAAGAAACTGATTGAAAATGTCACTCACCATCGTTCATACGATTTTCTATCCCACCTCTGCGGGGGTCATTGGAAGTGTCTAAAATAGGAAGTTAAATAACGTCAGACAGCTTGGTGTTCTAGTGGTGGTAATCATTATTACGTATTTGTGCACGATCCTCGCAGTAAAGAGCACTATTTAAACAATATAGTGAAGATCAGACCTGAAAATATCATTATCACCTTGATAACTGCTATAATTATCATATTATAATTTCTAATAATCATTAAGACTGTCATCAGCAGGGTCATTATCATTAGCATTATCGTTTTCATTCAGTCTTGCCATTGTTATTTTCTTTACCTTTGATATCGTCATCTTATCATTTCGGCTTTTTCTATTTTATTAGTGTAAGAATTCATTATGAAATTTAATGATTGTGACACCCACTTGTCCATGGCATGGGAAGACATTTCTGTTACGTAAAAGCAGCGAGGTGGCCGTATTATTGATGTTATGGCAGGTTTTTTTCTTTTCTTTTTTTTATTTAACCTAGTTGTCTCTTTTATCTGATTTCTTTTCCCTTGCAATTGAAGTAAGGGATCAGACAGTTTTAAATTGAGTTCTCACTTTTGTCGCCAAAAATTCGCTAATCAGGGTAAAATGCTTGAAGCCAAAATTTCAGAGATCTCCTCGTCATTCGTACTTAATGAGATACCAATATCTGGCCTTAAATGTCCTTTTATTACAGTGTTTCCATAGCTATTTTTTTTAATGTGCACGATTTTAAGCTAACCTGGCACAGGCCTAGAATGAAAATGAGTGATGCAATACTTCTTGTTATTTTTAAAATTTTTCAAGTTTTAGTTCAACGAATTAAGAGAACATCTCTTTTTTGAATATACTTCTTGTTTGTTTTTTTCACTGACTTTTCCAACAGATCAAAAAGGGTCTAACTCAGCTGTATCTTGAATCGCACTTTCTGTGCATTTTCAGGATGAAAAAATATCCATGTCAAAATTTAACTCCTATCTAAAACTTGCAAAGTATAAAAGTAAAAATTTAACCTCTTGAAACTTGATAAACATCGAAAACTTCTGAAGACAATCAGGTTCAAAATCTCCAAGGACTTTAATCAGGCAAACATGCACACGACCTCACGACAAAATTTTTGTTAACAAAATCGAATTGAGGAGAGTAAAAAAAGCTTTGATGTGTGCCTTACCATATGGTCCCCAAGGCAAAGTCAACGCCGATGCCACAATTGTTAACAAGAAGATTTCTTTCAATAGATGCACCATGATTTCCTCTCTGTGAGTTACAACAGATCTGGGATCTGAACTGGGACAGATAAAAAGCTGAATGGCAGTTTGGACGGTCGACCCCTTTAAATAATTCCGTTTAGGTGTGATCCCAGAAGTTGAATCATTACTCGAAATTAATTGAGTAATATACGCAGTGTAATTACATTTGACAAGTTGTTTTCACAAATTACTTTCTAATTTTACAGATACTGATATTTTAATGATCTCAAGTTCATTTCTTAGGAATAACTTCCCACAGCTAGGAAATATTATGAGAACCGCGTGAGGAATAAATTGCTTCAATTTGAGTCGGTTTTAAAATTTAGCCAGATTTCCATTCATATGCCTCGTTCAATTGCATTTCAATTCATTTACTTCTAGCTTGAAAATCAAATTTCTTTGTTTTTTCTTCATTCATCATCGAGATCTTATTGTAACAGGGTTTCACTTAAATTGATACGTGTTTGATACGAAATGTTATTAGTCATCACGTTTCAACTTGCCGCTGGAACACATCATGTTTTGAAATCCCCGCGTGATAAATCATTTAAGCCCTCTGCAGCAACCTTCAACTTTGGAATCATTGTCGGCTTACACCGAAGCTTTTAATTTTTTTGTGAGCGGTTTCATCTGAGTCATTATTTTGTTGATACAACGGCGATACCCTAGTTGTTTTAATAATTTAGTAATTATATAATGTCCGTCGATGTTATAATTACGAACGAACGGATTGTTTCTACAGAATGACACCCATAGCTTACAAGTATGTAAAAGATTCTGGCGCAAGTCTGTGGGTATCCGTAATGATACAAAATATATTTTTTTGGAAACTGATACTAAAGATGACTTGACACGATTTGTATTCTTAAGTTTGAGCCTGCCTTAAAGGCTAGCTTTGGTTGCAATCATGTCTGGTTTAATTTTCTTTTCAATTTTTTATTACCAAACAAAATCGACTATCCCCGTTAAAAATTCTCTTTTCTATCTGTTTATCTCGAGATCTTTGTCCTTACAAGTCATGTTTAGTTAAGTGTTTCATAGGGAAGGTAATCAGTAATCAAGTTTGTAAGACCCCTATATTCTTGTTCAGTTATATCATGGCTTGAAAGGAAATAATAAAGCGGCCACACATATGCATGCACGCTGCAACAAGCATCACATTCGGAATTATTCTAAATTGCCTTTAAATTCGTTTGCTTCTCGTTTTCGCCCTTTTGGGTGACATTGCTGTTTTAATATGGAAACGAGAACTTAATTATTACCTTGTTTTGTAGTAAATGCAGGGATAACTCGGAAACCTTTTAATGATATCCAGCTTATTTCTACACTAATTGTATCTTACGCGTTCGTTTAATGAAAACCTCCTTTGGGATAATAATGATATTTAATCAAGGGACTAAATAAATGCGTTATCGTTACTTTATGATCTCTTGCGGCTTTAAATCTTTTTGGATAAGAGATTTTTGTTTTCACTAAATTCTTAAGCTGTTGAAATGGCAAACAAAAAAAGATATGTGGTATTCAGATTTTTATTTTCCATAAATAGCTCGAATATCATTTTAAAAACGGGTGTGAAAGTAGTTGTTTTTTATGAAATAACTTTTAAAATTTCATTAAAAAATATTGCGAAGTTTGTTATTATAGTTCTGGTGACTGCCACAGATATATTTAAGATTTTCATCTTTAATTTTCAGTTATTTTGTACGCCAACACATTCGAGATTTTTAAATTCCATCCCGCGTTCCTACCAGTACGCCGTGAACCTATCAATGATCAGCGCTGACAAATTGTTTTTACAAGAGCACATCACCAGTAGTCAAATATAGAAAAAGATAAGTCGAAGCTTAAAAAATTGAGGAGAAAAGACTGATAAACTAGCACCAACGTCTAAAATGGAAAAAAAAGCGAGATCGAACGCCCACCATTTTTGGAACGAGAAAGGTGACAATCAAATAAATTTGTCTTACTGTCGTTAGATTTGACGAAGAGGTTTTCGATCTCACTTTAAAAAAATGCCGATAACTTTGCCTTGTTCTGCCTTAGAAGATTAAGGATGACCGTACCGCAAATTTGTTTTGTGAACTGGGATGGGTCTCCTTGTTTCAACGTTGGAACTTTCACAAGTGTCTAACTGTCTAAAAATGCCTTAATGGAATTTATCCACCCTATCTGAGAAGGCTTTTTTCCTATAATTCAGATTTCCACCATTACAATACCAGAAATAGAGCGAATCTACATATGGTCAAAATAACTTCTAAATCTGGCCACAGATCATTTACCTATTCAGCTTCTAAACTATATAACAACCTTGATCATGCCACAAAATGCTCCCTGACACTTAAAGAGTTTGTAAATAACTATTGGCCAAAATAACTTGTAATGATCTATATAATTCGGCATCGTAGGTTTATTGTTAACGGAACACAGGGAAAGGGTTATTTATTTATTTATTTATTTTAATATCTATATTGTATTTAACAATTATTCGCCGAAGGCGAGGTGAATATCGTCGAATAATCCCCGAGACGAAGTCGAGGAGAAATTTCTAAAATCATAACATTTTAATAACATTTATTAACATCTTATTTTAACACTTTATGTAAACCGCGTGGAGCGGTTTACATAGCGTCATCTAAGGAACCGCTCGACCAATCAGATTGCTGGAAACTCTTTGCTCAGATCTGAAATTATACTAAGAACTAATATAACTAGTATCAAAATAAAAATTAAGCTAATCGGGCTATTTACAATTCAGGAAAAAATGTCACTACGTAATTTAAACTAAAAATAAAACTAGAAGTTTAATCTTGTGCTGATATTAATGTAAAATCTACAATAAGGCAAGTCATCTATTTATTAAAACAATAAGGCTAAAGGGCTAATAACGAAATTCGTTACAGAAAGAGGTTTACAAATGTGAAATTATTTCATAAAAAAAGGTCAGCAGCTGTACAATTTACTTTAAAATCATCGACAACTACACTTCTAAAAAAGGGCTGTCGCGATCCTCTGATGCTAGTATCATTTACAGACTTTCATATTTCGAAAGAAATCCTGGTCCTGAACCAGCTAATAACAAATGAGTAACTTTCAACGTCCTTCTCTGCCAATTTCTCCAAATGGTGTCCATTTGTAAACTTTTCATCATTGTTAATGTTTATCAATGTTCGCGTTTACACGTCATTTTAACAGATCGTCACCATCACTTGAAGTGACCAGATCTAAAAATAGAAAACTAGATGACAACAAAGTTGATC